CTTAAATCACCATTTTTAAGGTGCATTAGGGTATGCATGTGTAGACATACACCCTTAATGTACCTTAAAAATGGTGATTTTGGGGCTAAGCCTGCTTAAAAGAGGCACGTGTAGACACACCCGCTGAGGGGTTTTAGTTTACTGTGGCATAATTGGGCCACACATGTAGACACTGAGACATTTAATGTGGAGCTAATTAGGCAGCTCTGCAGTTCACATCTTGTGTAGATGCTCTCTATATGTGTATGTGCCCACACATGTATGTATGTATGTATATATACACGTGTGTGTGTGTATCTATCTCCACATGTGTAATGTGTGTTTGTAGATATGTATTTAGTACTTATTTTTAAGTATTTTCATTAAACCTTGTGACTATGTAATGCAGATTGCACAATGAGATATTATTGGCTTCTCCCTGACAATCTGTCCTGTTTATCTCCAATTCAACATGCCATAGCAACAGGATAAAATCAAGCAAAAAATAAAATGGGTAAGAAAAAGGATAGTCAGTTAAAAAAATAATTGGGGCAAAACCTCTTTTGCTGAAAAACGCAATTTAGTCAGATGCTTTGTGGCTGCAGCTGGCCCTGGTTGGCAGAGTCCTAACTAATCCTACTTGGCCAAAAAAAAAAAGCAGTGTCAGATCTCTGCACTGCAGTGAGAAGGCCAGTATGGGATGGCTTAGGTGACTGTGAAAAGCAGAGGGTGCACCTGACCCTGATCAACAGAGCAGCACTCGGACAACTAACTGGGTGTCTGTGGCGGGGTATGCTGGGGTAGGGGGTACCATCAATGCTGGCAGCCTGGTACCCTCGCTCATTGTTGCACCATCCTTCTGGGTTGGAACAATAGCACACATCCTGGAACAACCCGGACAGTGTCACACAAGTGGCTACTCCGCTTCCACTATGGCAGTGGAGTACCCATGAGAAGGGCAGTGCATAATGGGGACTCCTTGTTTGTCCCATGCATCACTCACTGACGGGGAGGATGTTTTTGCAGGGCCTTGCCAAAATGCAGCAGTGCCGTCAGCAGCCAGGATGCTATATGGGTATTTAAGCCCATCCTGAGCATCGTGCCACAGGAATAGCTCAAACTGGCTTGTCATCAGACGATGCAGGAGGTGTTGGCTAATGGCTATATGGAAGTGACTTCTACATGCTGGAGCAGAAAGAGGCGGTGATAACATTCTGTTTCAGAAAGCCCGGGGAAGCACAGACAGGTGCCAGCCCTGATTTGTGACCCTGCCAGCTGCTCTTGAAGATGTCAAATGACAACCTACAGCATGTCGGGAAAGCCACAGAGCTGCTCCATGTGGTTAATGAATGGGCAGCCCAGTATTTCCTTTGCTTTTCCTGTGGAAGAGAGAACTGGAAAGCCAGCAGACCCACTCCCAGGGGGAGGGTGAGACCACAGGGGATTCTCTGGTTTGATTCACCAAAATGGAAATATTTTTAGTCTCGGCTCCGTGGATGAGCTCAGAAGCGAAAAGGAGTTTTGCAGGGAAGCTCTGAGAGGCGGGGTTGGGGAAGCCACGACTGAGGCACGCAGGTTACCCATGTGATTGCCAGTAACACCATTACAGTACATGACCTGTCAGGCACTCTGTAAGTGCCACGGATCTTATAGAAAAGACAGGGTGACTGCATGTAGAGGTTTTAAAAATAGGCATCACTGGCAGCGTTTAGTGTATTGTGGTCCCTTCTCTCTGCCTGAAAAGCCAGGCTGCTTCATTCACTGGGAATCCCACTGTGTGACACCTGGAGAGGGGAAAAAAGGATTCCTACACAATGCATTACTTGAACTCTAAAAATATCCTAAGATAGCTTTCCCTTATGCTGTGATCCCCTGAATTCAGTGCTCCCTCTGGCAAGATTTGGGGCCAAAAAATAAAAATTGTGTTCAGTGTTAATTTAACCCTCATTTTTATTTTTCTAATGTCTCATTCCATGAGACATTCAACCTGTTTCTGGTCCGGGACTAGAGATTTTTCAACCCATGCTTCACACCAGTGTAATCTGGGGAGAAAGGAGGACTTTTTTTTCCCCTCTGTCTGACATTTTGTAATTGAAGCTGTTAGAAGCTGCCCAGAATTTTAGGCTGCTGGCAGTAACCACTAGAGATGGGCAGAAGATAAGTGAGGGGACCAAAGGTATGGGATAAATACGGTTTATCACTTAGATATCAAGGAATTTCTGCTTGGCAAACATGCGTCTTGGAGTACCGTAGCGAGCACGGAGCGTTAACATGGCTTTTCTTGCACATTTCATCCATCGATCTCTGTGTGCGTTACAGAGAAGAGTTTGAACAACTGTCCCTCTTTTGCAGATAAGGAAATTAAGACAGAGCTTATGTGATTTGTTTGAGAAGGCACAGGTCTGTGGCACCGATTAGGAATAAAGCATCACTCCTGACTTCTAAAATCCCTGCCTGATCCATGGGCTTGCACTCCCTTCTAGGATCAAATGGGGTATGACTTTAGCAACAGTTCAGCCCAATACATTCCCAAAGGGATTTTTTCTCCAGCACCCCATGCACAAAAGACTTGGTGAAGAGTGGTCCTGTCTTGCCAGCCCAAGCCTGACCCCAAGGCAGAAACTCTTGCAATCTGATTTACTAGTACGTTCCAAAGTCAACAGTATCTCATGGCTTCCCTAACCCAGTAGTGAGACCAAGGCTCCCATAATGTGGTACCTTTCCTTTGGCTTTGATGACTTTCATCTCTGCTGCACACGGGACCCCTCCTGCGTTTCAAGGGTGTTTGGTTCCAGGGATCTGGTTTGGAGCCGCCTTTAGCTATGCGGAGAGCCCAGGCCCAGGTTTCCTTTCCATTGTCCTTTATGGAGGGGCTGAAGGGAAATGACAAGTGCAATTTGGAGCTATTTTTTCTTTCTCTCTAACAGAAGCAAGCCAGCTACACCAAAGAATCACTGAGAGCGTTTATCATGCACCGATGAATTCCTCCAACATATCCAGGTAACTGAAGCCCCAAGCGTGGTTTTTCATGGAGCGGAAGAGGGTAGAATAGGATCTCATTTAAGCACCATAGAGGTGAACTAGAATTTAAGCCTTCTTGTTTTCAGCATCTTCAACCCATTTAGATGCAGGTGGAGATTTGGGGCATGTACAACCTCAAATATATCAAAGCAAACCAAACACAAAAGACCAGAGTCTGGTTTTGTGCAAGAACCATCTGGCCGTATGAATATTGCATGAGTTTGATCAGCACCAGGTTCAGCTGAAATTAGAACAAGATTCCCTGGCAGATTCATGGGCTTCAATGGGGCCTTCAGCAATGGTTTGTAAGGGAGCCGCGTGCTGGAAAGGTTTTGGGTGGATTTAGGATTCCATGTAAGTATTTCCTGCAGCTCTTGATTGTTTTTAACAAGATCAACCAAACCAGATGTTCTCATGGGATATAACCAGGACTGCTGGTGCTCTGCAGAACCATGTCAGAGACTTCAAACAGATGCAATCTTTGTTAATGCTGCTCCTTAATTTTCCAAGACCTGGATGTATTCCAGAGATGGTGCTTTGTGCATGATTTACACAAAATGAAGATCTTTGGGCAAAAACACCCTGGGGGGAACAAAGAAAAAAAAATCAGGGAGAAGTGAAATGCAAGAGAAAAATGGACCAAACCATGCTAGAACTATTCAAATGAGAGAACTCTCAAGTTTTCAAAGCAGAAACACTAAACATAATATAACAAGGGGGAGAGAGTTCATTCCAGCAATCACGGCCCCCAAATTAGACATTTTTAATCAAATTTTAATTCAGTGAACACTTAATATATTTTATTCTAACTCAAAACCAACTAAACTGGTTAGTGAGGGACCCCACCCTCAAGGCTCTGTCCTTGGACCCATATTGTTCAACCTCTTCATTAAT